AGGAACAAAATCCATCTGTAAACAGCCGAAAAATGATTGATTTTGATGATGTTTCAGTACAAAAATGGTCGCCATTCAGCCATGTTGAATCAGATCATGAAACAAATTGATGAGCATATGTATAATATTATGTACATGTATGATGTATGTATGAAGTTTGATTGTGATTGGTCCAGGCATGTCTATGATACAGGTCCGGACGCACGAACGCACAAGGGTCAAAACATAAGTCCTCCGAACGGGGACTAATAAATAATGCATTTATATTTGCATGTGTTTTTTGGGGGTGGGTGAAGGATTATGGGAAGGCAAACTCTGCTGTCCATTATTTCAACAGATTCAGAATTGACATGCATATTACAAAGATATTACAAAGGGTAAAGCATTATTATGTTTCCTTCTAGGCGATAGCACCCAGCATTACAATTATGAGATGTGAAGAAATTGATAGAGTTATGAAAAGATTTCTTATTGATGCCATGGATTATAGAAAAGATTATGTAGATTAGATTTATTTCCTGCATTTACTTTAAGTTCAAAAGTTCAATTTTTTGTACTTCCTTTAAGTTTTAAATTGTCTGTTTCTTTTTTTATTTATATAGTATGTAAAAGGGTAGCAACAAATAAATAAATAAATAAATAAATATTATGTTTTGTCTTGAGAAATTAGGGATTAATGGACTGACACATGACAAACATACATGTAAGTACCTGTTTTGGACTAAGTTAAAGAGAGACGAAAATATACATTGAATTGGATTCTCTAACATATACTTTGAGTTTGATACTCACCACATCGTGCAGCTTCACCTGACCACTGACCACTATTGCAAGTTCTCTTTGTATCACCATAAAAGTCAAAACTTTCAATATCAGAGCAACGCTGTGTAATCTCAGCTCTATGAGGAAAAGTTCTACCATTGCAGTTATCAACTACTTTGTGTTCATAGAATATCACTATATTCACTCTGTCAGCTGGACATGAACAACCATTTGAAATATCTGGACCAAAAGAAAAGAAAATATACCATAATTTATTTAACTCTAGCCAGGCATATAATAATATGAGGTTATTTTAATGATATTGAAAAGTATGCATGAAGACAATACACAGGAGTATCGACCACCAAGCAGCGTAGGTCGATGCGATGGCATACTGCCTGAGTGCAGACTTTGCAGTATTCTCGTGATAACCTTATTATTATACATCTTTTCCGCCCAGGAATACATCATGGGAATGCCAAAGTCCAAAACCTTTAGAACAGATTTAGCTTACGCTTACGCACGTAATCATACCATATTTGGAATTTGCATTTCCTTATATGGTAGGATGAAAATACCCCGTAAAATAACGCAAAATTACGACACTTATGGCGTTACGGTCACAGATGTATAATAATAATATTTATTATCTCATAATATCTCATAATGATCATACAAGCAAAACAAAGAAGTTGGTTGCTCATAATGAAAATAAATTCATCACTCTCACTACTGGTTCCAAAATTATTAATATGAATTTCTGCTTTATTAAATAAATGCAGTCTATGTGTCGTGTATGCTGGGCAATTCATAACAAAGTGTTTTTCATCAGCTTTGTTTTGTGTACATGCATGTTTCAAAACCTATTGTACAATTCAGACTTCACAGTAATGGTAATGTACTAAGTACGAATCAATTCCAGGTGGCAATGCGTTCCCGGAACAGTCTCACACAGTAATGCAGCTTCATACAAACTTTATTGATGATTTAGTGAGAGAACATGCAGATATTAAAAGTTAAGTTATAAAATCTTGTGTGGCAAGTGACAACAAATATCAGTTTGTCCAGCAACGTTTGGTTACTATCGGAGTGTGTGAGGAATCAAACAACCACTATTTATTAGTAATTAATTTATTGATTAATAATCTAATATTGGGTTATATAATATGCTGGTCACTGTGAATTTGATCAGGGGTATCAAGTGTTATTTTGTAGTGCATACCATTTTCAACCAAGCAAGATGTGAATTTAGAGCTGCAGAAGGACTAGTTTTTATATTGCAATGATAAGTGTCACCAGAAGCGTTTGCTTTACCAAATTGTAGCAGAATTTCTCCAGTGTGGTGTGAATAATTCATATAAAATATTTACCAAAATAATTTACTTGCATTGTTCATTTTAACATGGCAGGATCTAGCCACCCATCCTTTACCAAAATTCATTAGACAAAATGTATACTTTTTGTGTGCAAAAAGTATACAAATTCTGAATAAATTTGTACATTTTATGTATAATTTTTGTATACAAGAAGTACATCATTTTTTGGAACAGATTTGTATACAAAAAGTATGCAAATACTATGCAAATAGTGTACAAGAAATGTACTTTTGTATACAAGGAGTATCCCATATTTCGAACACTTTTGTATACAAAAAATAGGGCATTTATTTAACAAAATGAAATTCAACTTCATTGTGCGTTTCATTTGCGCAAGTGTATGGCTTATTACACAATAACATGTATTTGTATTTACCCATACTTATGGTACATGGTGAATTTAATTTATCAATTGTTTATGCTTACCTGACTGACTACCCGGTATATAGTACATTCATTTACAACCTATGTTGTATCTGTTTGACATATATGTGAGCCAAGGATGTACAACAAACTGATTGTAGTGAGAGTAATACTGATTTATTTCATTGTATTTTCCTCAACTGGAAATGCCAAAACTAGATATATAATGGAAAATTAAATTTTAATTTAGTTAAATTGATCAAAAAGAAGTTCATAAAAATTGACAATGAATCATGTTAGGATCCAAAACAGGATAATTCTTAATATATGCAAATTAGGCAAACTCTAAAACAACTCTCGTGGGAAATGTGTTATACACTCTTCTTATAATGACTGAATTCTTTCAGTAAACTGTAGTAAAAATATAATTTTACTGATATCCAAAAATATAGTTTAGTATTCCTGTAATTAATCTATTAAAAATGTTTTTATACTCTCTTATGAATTTAATTGAATATTAAATTTCATATTTTTGTACAGTTTATGTATACATATATCATATTATTGGGCGTAGTTAAGTTTATTCAGATTCTAAGTCCAATTTTTGTACATTCTATGTATACATAAATAACACTAATATTTGTCAAGATGCCAAGTCAATAATTTGTACAATTAATGTATACATAAATTATACTTCATTCTGACATCATTCTAACATAAATTTTTTTGGTTACTCTTTATTTCTTAGTCATGATATTGTACATTTTTTGTATATGTAAATTATACAATATTTAGGCATTGAATCCTATGCAAAAAGTCTGTACATTTCTAGTATACAACAAATATACATTAATGAATTTGTATAAAGTGTGTATACAAATATTGTATGCAATTTCAAAAAAAGTATACTTTATGTACAGAATATGTATACAATTAATGTACTATTGGGGTGGACAATTTGGTAAGGGATGTCACAGCTAGGCAACATGTTCAGGAAGTGATTTGAAAACCAAAGACACTTGTCTTTCTCCATGTAGGACTTTTACTTTACACATTTTACTTGTCTTTGTTGTGGCCATGATGTGACTGTTTTTGGCTTTTGTGTATCCTCCCTTGACGAGAGAATTGTTCTGGTTTTACAAGCATCAATACAATGCCAAGAAAGGATTGCCACGAGTAAGCGAAGTGAAGACAATTGTTCTGGTTTTACAAGCATCAATACAATGCCGAGGAAGGATTGCCATGAGTAAGCGGAGTGATGATCCACTCCCAGTGATCGTCTTGTTGCTAGAATTCCCCCCAGATACATGTATCTTATGGACCAGTAATCCAGTATTTAAACTCGCAGTTCTAATACTGTTTGGTATGGTTTCAGTCATTGTCTCTGCTTGCAGCAGTAAGCAGTGTCCTTTATTTGTCTTAAAGCTGCAAAACCTGTGATTTTTAAAATGTTTTGCTTAAAAATACCCACATAAAGATGATCAAATCTTACCAAAATATTGTTTTAGACATAACTGGATGGGCAAAGTGACCATATACAAGGGTAATACCCTGTACAAGGGTAAAATGTGATGTAAAAACTAAGGGTCATGTAGTCGCCATTTCGTTGAAACCAGTCTGGTAGTGAGAGGCCGTAAAAAATGTTGACAATGCACACTATCATGGAAATGACACATTAAAGATGAGAAGCCATCATAGGTGCTTAGCCTCACATTTACAGTTTTCATCTTGTACCGTAATCCCTGAGGTTCACTTGCTATGCTTCCAGTGTCCACATTTTGACGATTCCATTACTAATTGACACTAATGACACAGAAAATGTTTTATTAAAAATAAATATTGGAGAAACAGTTGAATTGTTACACTCCATCCAGGCAATCTGTTGTTTTACTTGTACTTCGTAAAAAGTAATACCCCTCAATCTGTCACACATTGAACTAAAATTTTCATTTTCACACTTTTTCGAAGGTGGTGCTCTAGTAAGCACCAACCCTATAAAATACATGATTTTTAGAGCTGAGTACCCTGGGCACTAAGTCGGACAACTACAGTATGTCTTGGAGATATAATAGCAGTATATGTATGGCCAAAAAGCAAGATGGCCACCAATCGTCCATCTTTGAGCTGATAGTAAAACAAATTGTCATGGACATGTATTCTGTGCATTATAATGTATGTGCCAAATTTTAATGAAAATGAACATGTCCCAAATACTACAACTACTATTTTTGAAAAAAACAAGATGGCTATGAGTCACCTACCTTTGATTTGATTTCAAAACAAAACTATACATGTAACCATTGAAAATTGAAAAAAATAATTATAATTTTAATGATCAGTAGTTACCTGTATTTGATTGAATACAAGTTGGTCTCTCTGCAGGAATAAAAAGTCCTCCAGATGTGTGTATACTCCAAACACCTTGATAACATTCATGTTCATTGTTATCATCTGATAACCAAAATCCATCATAACAACCATACGTAATACTTGTACCATGCTGAACAATAGACTCAATCGGTGGATTTTCAAGTTTTAAAGGTGGGACAATATCTGTTGGTAGTTCACAACCTTCTGCAAAAAATTTATACTGAATTTTTAACATGTTAATTTATGGAGCTGACCAGTGTGTAAAACAGTAAAGAAAGCCAAAATCAACAACTTGTATGCACATGCTACTTTCTACACTCTTTATTCAGTATACAGTATATGATATCCTTGATTATTATGAATCAATGTCCATTTGTAAGATTTACTATAACAAACCATGCATGGTACATTCCCCGTTAGTTATCAAGTTTAAGATATATATTCTTGTTATATGGTTGGAACATAAACGTGTCAGAAGTAT